GAACAGCAATTGCACCGACCTGTATGTCAATCTGAAACTAATTCTAAAACTGGACAGTATTTGCACTGAACTGTATGTAAGTCCATAAACTGAACCCAGAAGTGAAAAGTATTTGCACTGAACTGTATATAAATCCAACGACTAAGGATGCTTTGCCCAGGCAGGCATTTTCTGCCACACAGGCTCAAGCAAAAACATTTCCCAGCGTTGCAAAAGGCTGCTCTAAGGAGGGCGAAACAGGGGGGAGATGCTATTAAGGCAACCCTCCCAAAGACTTTTAAGTGAATTGCTGATGTATAATTTAAACTCTGACCTTGCAGCGAGGTTCAGCTCCAAAGCCACGGGGCTGGGCCCATGCCCCAGGTGATGGCTACGCTCCCGCTCACCCACCATAATGCATGTTCCTGTGTTCTTGCAGGAGTCTTGTGAAATATTTAGATCACGGGGAAGGATCGCCAGGGACTGCTGCAGTGAATCAAGGGCCAGGTATCTTTTTGCTCAGCTTTCTAATTTTCTCACCAAGCAAGGGGTAAGGCTTTAAAACAAGAAGGCTGGGATCCTGATGGCGCACTATGGCAGAGGTTGCACTTTTCCCAGAGTTGCACAAGAGCGGAAACAAGAGGAGGCAGACAGAGAATGACACCCTGCTAGTGACTTATAGGGGCACGAATGCTGCTTTTGCACACCTAGATCCCTTTTTGGGACATGGGACTATTTGCTTCCCCTTGCACTATATCCAAAAACTTGTCAATCCCCCGTGGGGTTGCTTTTTCTCTTTCTTACCAGAGGGAAAGGCAACACCATGTCTGTGTGTGAAGGCTTCTTCTTGTTGTTGTTATGTGCCTTCAGGTCCTTTCCAACTCATTGCAACCTTATCACAAGCTATGAAGAATTCAAAGATATAGCCATGTTAGTCTCTAGAATCAGTATGTAAAGAGATCTTGTAGCATCTTTGGGACTAACTGAAAGAAAGAAGTTGGCAGCAGGAACTTAAGTCTACTTCCTCAGATGCATTTGGACTATGACAGGCTATGAAGGTGCATCTTGGTGGTGGTGGTGGTGGTGTGTTCAAATCCTTTCCGACTTATGGAGACCCTAAGGCAAAACAATCATGGAGTTTTCTTGACCAGATTTGTCCAGA